CTGCAACGTCGGCACTTGCCATTCTCCTTCAGCAAAACGTCGTTCCACTGATGGGTGTTGCAGCTCTTGCAAGTGGACCATAGCCTCGGGCCGAGACCAGACATAATCCTGACTGAAATGCCTCGCTTTCGTCAGCACGAACGCCCGCGCACTGGGCGCGGGAGGCGCGCTGTCCCCAAGCACCTCGTGACGGCGCGAGGCCTGGCAGAATGGGCGATGCACAAAATGTGTCAAGGAAGGAAAAGGAGGCCTCCCCTCGCCCGCTCGCGCCAGAATGCTTGAGAAAGAAGGAGGAAGAGAAGGGGGAGGAGGAGGAGGAGGAGGAGGAGGAGGAGGAGGAGGCGGAGGAGGGCGCGCCGGGGCAGCCCTGCGCGATGGTGGCCTGGCAGTGCGCGACGCACCGCGCGCAGGCGGCGGCCCCCCTGGCCCGCGCGAGAGGCCCCTGCGCGGGCAGCAGCCCGTGCGCGCCGCCGACCAGAAACCACCGCCACGGGGATCGATCGGATCGATCCCCGCCTTAGCTGCCCAGCCACGCAACACGCAACACGTGGCGTAATGGAGGATGACGATGAATGAATAACCGGGGCTCGTGTTCACGCGGCGGCGCCCGGGATGACGATTGGAAAAAAACCGGCCGCGGGCTGGGGAACTATTTTTTAATCGTTCTCCTCCAGTCAGAAAACTGTGCAGAAGTAGCAGAAACTGTTATTTTAATCGTTTTCTAATCGTCATCCCGCATTATTGATACGGAGCTCAACGCGCAGACTGAGCGCGTGCGTTTTGAACACGGACGTTTTGAACACGGCACGTGTTACGTTTCAGAACGTGGACATCAGAGCAGCTGAGATCCCAGCCCGGCACATACATGGGATCGGAGTCGGAACCGAAGTGGTCAAGAGCATCGAATAGGAGCCGGGATCAGCGTCCAAAAGCGAGGTGGGAGTCGAAGCTGGAGCGGAAGGACGGGCTCGGATCGGAAGAGGGGTCGAGAGAAAGACATCGAAATTGGGGATCGGGGCGGACCAGAACTGGGCCCGGGCATGGCCCTCGGGCATGCCACGTCTTGAAAAAATCAGGACGGCGGATTTTCGCCATTTGCAGCTTCTTGGACCCCAAAGACCGTCAATAAACGACTCAGGGTGAAAAACTGGTCCCGGGGAAAGGGTCGGGCCTTCCGTGGACTCCGCACTGAAAATTCACGACATCGCATGTCTGGGGAATGTTTTGCCCACCCAGGGCCCGAATACATGATCCAGGGTTGCACCCCTCCCCCCCAATGCAGATGGGGTCGAGGCCCCTCCCCCCGCAGGATAGGTACGCCCGTGAGCCTCGCGAATGCCTCGCGAATGGGACCGCTCGCCCCCCCCTTGGTCGTGTCGTGGCCCTGTGGGCGTGGCATGGTGAAGGGTGCTGGTGCTCCTTCCCCGTGTGGGTGTGGGGTGGTTCGTCGTGGTCGCCGTGGTCGTCGTCGTCGTCGTCGTCGTCGTCGTCGTCTTCGCCGGCGCCGGCGCCGGCGGCGTCGGCGTCGGCGTCGGCGTCGGCGTCGGCGTCGTGGTCGTCGTCTGTCGTCCGTCGTCTGTTGTCTGTCGTCTGTCGGCGCCGGCGTCGGCGAAGGCGTCGTCGTCGTTGTTGTCCCCCATCCCATCTGGACGGGGAGGGCTGCGAACCCTCGACCCCGGATCATGCGTATATCCGCGCCCACTGCCCGCCGTGGTTCGACGTTCGATCCCTGGGCGCGGCGGCCATGGGTGCATCCCCGCCTCGGGGCCTCTTGACCCGTCGCTCCTCGGAAGACGCCGTGGGCGACTCCACGCGGACGCCCTCGGCCCCGTCTCGGGCCCCCCACGGGGCCTCGCGGATCGGGCCGCCTCGGCAAAGGCGAAGCAAGAGAGAAGCGCGTGGCCGGGAGCTCCCGGACAGGGCCCTCGCCCCGTCGCCGCGCTGCCTCTTCGGCGCCGGCGGCGGGGCTCGCTGGGCACGCCCCCCCCTCGTCCGCCGCCGCCGCGCGCGAGCCAGGGGGGCTCCTCGGCTGCCCCGGGGCGTCTCCCCGGCGTGCTGGGAGCGCGCCCCCCCCCAAGCCGCGTGCCCGACGCTCGCCCGTCCGCCCCCCCCCCCCCGGTCGCTGCGCCCCCCCGACGCGCGGGCGCTCGGCCTCGGCCCGCGCGGCGCGCGCTGCTCAACGGGCCCCAGGACGCACAAACCAACGCGCGCCAACACGCACCAACACGCGCCAACACACACACACACACAAAAAAAAAACAGGATCCCCATATTTCTGAATATTTTGGGGATTTCTGCCTCCCCCCCCCACATCCCACGTGTCCCACAGAGAGGCCAGTGCGCGAAAGCCGCGCTCTCGGACGACGCGCGCTGCTGCAGGGGGATCGCCTGGAAGGATGTGCAGGACTGGCGCCCCACCCCTTCGAGCGACGACGCCGCCCATGACGCGCCTGCGGCTCGCGCGCTCTTCGGTGCCATCTGGTCCGCAGACCGCGCGGTCATCTGCGCCGCCCCTCTCTGTTCGGCGCTTCGCCCCCATGCCCGCGCTCGACCCCCCCGCGCGCGCGTCGCCGTTGCCCCAGCCCGACGCGCTCGCGGCCGCTGCCCCGCGGGGCGCGCCCCCCCCGCTCAACGACCCCGACGCGCTCGCTCCCGCCGGCTCCTCCGCAGCGATCTCACCGCACTCTCGGCCTGCTCCGTGGGCGGCGCCGCGATCGCCCTGCCGCGATGCGGTCGAGGCGGGCGCCCCGCTCGCGCCGTCGCCGCCCCTTGCGCGCGCTGCGCCCGCTGGCGCCCGCCCGCCCTGCTGACGCGCCCACGTCATTGCGCGCGGAGCCCTCGGCCGACGCCGAGGCGCCCGAGCCAGCTGCAACCGCCGCCGCGCTGACCGCCTCGCGTGAAAAAAAAGCCACGAGGGCCACGTCCATCTGGTTCTTTGCGCATCCCGCGAACGCCTGGAAGTCCACTCGCACAACCTTGTCGTCGTCGAATCTAACAACGCCCACTCCGGGGCAATCAAAATACGCGACATAGTGGTTCCGATCGTTCAGGTGACAGATTGCGCCCTGAAGCCGGTACCAGATGCTTTCATTGCCAGGCCAAGCTATTTCCTGGGGGACTCTCACGCGAGCATTCACTCGGTCCATCCCCTCAGCCATCTTTCTGCTCAACACCACTGTAAGAAACACCGGTGGCGATACTGCTGGGATGTCGTGAACCTGCGACGGCCCGTGGCAACCGCGCCACACCTCGCCCTCCCGCAATGCTGGCTGGTGCGGGCAGGGCAAACCATACTGCGCCGCGCGTGCGTGCACCCGTACCAATGCGCCAAGACACAGTGGCTCTGTGTCCCGCACGTGCTCCCACAACTGCAGCGTCATGAACCGTTCCCGCCTATGCAAGTCGGAGGCCCAGCCGCATCCCGCGCAACACCGCCTTTGCCGAACTGCGCAGCCCAGCGCGCACTCGTCCACGAATGAGTCCCGGGGCGGTCGCGCCCCCCAAACTCCTCAGCGCCGCCGCCTCAGCTCGACATATTGCTTCCGCCATCGCGCTCCACAACTCGCTCGCATCGCACTGGCGTGTGCCACGGAAATCGTTGACGCGTCCGTGTTGGAACAGACCGCGTCTTGTCGCCGTCACGGCGGGCACCTGCTCCCGCGCGATGGCCGGCAGCTCGCTGAAGGTCGCGCTCATCAGAGCAGAGACGCCTGCTCCTCCTCCTTCTCCTCCTCCTCCTCCTCCTCTTCCTCCTTCTCCTCCTTCGCCCCCTCCTCCCCCTCCTCCCCCTCCTCCTCCTCCTCCTCCTCCTCCTCCTCCTCCTCCTCCCCCTCCTCCTCATTAAAACAGGGCAGCAGAGCCTGAAAGACATCCACGACGGCCCCATCCGCCCGGACTGTGCAAATATTGCCCCAAGACGCCCTGCGCGGCGTCCACAGGCCGAAGGAGGCCCCAACATGCCCCAAGAAACCTCGAGGATGCCTCCCAACAGGACCTGAAGAAACACAACACATTGCGTGTTCGGGAACACACCGTCGTTCCTTCAAAGACGACGGCGTTCCCGAGGTCCCCCATGCCACCCCAGTACTGCCCAAGAGACCACCCATAAAACCCCATGACGGCCCCAAAAATGGCCCACGAGAACGAACACAAACCACAAGTCGTAACGTTCCGCCCCGAGAAGCCCCCAAGAGGCCCCAAAAGACTCCCCAGCAGGCCACCACAAGAAATCCGAGATGCAATGCAGAATCTGGAGACTCATCAGAACCCTTCCTGCCGTGCTCGGAAAAGTACCCCGACCACTAACGAATCCAACATTCGTCGCTCAATTGGGGTCGGCGGCAGAGGCGGCAGCCTTCAAATAAATACACACACGCAAATAACAGGTTTCCCCATCTTGCTCAATAGTTGTTGGATTTCTGTCTTCCCCCCCACTCCCCATATTCTCCCATATTTTCTAGGGGATCGACGATCAGTTGTGTCTGTGTGTTTCTTTCCCTCCTGAGCTGCTCCTCTGTGCCTGCGGGACGCGCGGCGGCGCCTGCTCCGCTCGCCACACGCCCGAGGGCAGCCTGGGACGGGCTGCGGCCACCGACGGGCCAGAGACGGCTGCAGGATGCTCCGAGACCGGCCCAGGGCGGCCCAAAAGCCCGCTGCGAAGCTCCCGGGTGCCCCCTAGGAGGCCCTGGGCAGCCCCCGACAATCCCGCCCCCCGAGGGGGCCCATCATCAGCCACCCAGCACGGGCGCGGGAGGCACAACTGCTCTGAGCTGACGTGTCTGTATCCAGCATTTGTCAGGAATTCCTTCTCCTGCGGCTTCCGATGTGACTCCTGCTCCCCACGGTTGGCGATCCGCCCGGTTCAACTCGAGTATGCAAACTTGTATGACCATGCAGCCACGCAGTACTGGCCATGATTGCTGCACGACGCATTGCTGCATGACTGCTGGACGACGACGACGCCGCCGCCGACGACGATGACGCACGGCCGACCCCTCCACGTCTCCTGGTACTGGGCCCACGTTGCGCTCACCCGCTCGCAGGCTTCGCGGCAAGCCTGGAGAGGACGACGAAAGTGGCGCGAAGGAGCAGGAGGCGGGACGAGGAGGACGAAGAGGAAGAGGGGGATGAACAGGATAACGAGGAGAGGGGGAGAAAGAGAAGGCGGACCGGGTGGAAAGCAAGGAAACGGAGGGCGACGAGGTGGAAGTGCAGGAGGAGAGATGGCTGGGAGACTCGGGCCAGGAACTCTTGCTTCGCGCGTCGCGGCGGCGTCCCCGGCGACACGCCATTCCGCCCCACAGACTGCTCGCGAGCCGAGAAAAGAGGTCGGGCCGCCGAGGCTCGGGGGTCAGTCAGGACGAGGCGAGCGCGTCGCGCCGAGGTGCGCTGGGCCAGAACCCGAGGGGGGGGGCCGCGCTGCCGCCAACTCCTCCTCCTCCTCCTCCTCCTCCTCCTCCTCCTCCCCCTCCTCCTCCTCCTCCTCCTCCTCCTCCTCCTCCTCCTCCTCCTCCTCCTCCTCCTCCTCCTCCTCCTCCTCCTCCTCCTCCTCCTCCTCGCACGTGCTCCTGGCCGCAGGGGCCGCTTGCACAGGCAGCGCGTCGGACCAGCGGCGCGCTCTCTCCGGCGAGGCCGGCAGGCCCGCCCGTGGGGGCGCTCCAGGCCGGGCCTCCGCCCCCGGGGAGTCGGCGGGCCGACCTCCGCCCCACACGGCGGAGGCCGGCGGAAGGTCCGCCAGGAAGCTGGCGGAAGCTCGACGGAAGCAGGAGAGAGAGAGAGGGAGGAAGACACAGAGAAAGCGAGAGAGAGAGAGAGAGAGACAGGAGTCGAGGAAGTGTTGGCCGGTGGAGGAGGTCGAGGAGGTCGAGGAGGAGGACGAGACTGAGAGAGAGAGAGAGAGAGAGAGATAGAAAACACGGCAGAGGGGCACTGGCAAGATGGTGACCGAAGCGTGGCGGAAGCCACACCGGAGCCTAGCAGGAGAGAGAAGCCCGCGCAGGCGTGCCCAGAGCTCCCCGAGGGTCGGCGGGCCAGGGCCTCCCGCGCCGTGCTCTCTTCGCCACGCGCGGGCGCCTGCCGCTCGGCCACGCGCAAGAATGACTCCTCGGCAGGAGTGACCTCTGGTGTGCGGCTGAACGGGGAAGACGCGGGGTGGCCAAACCTGGGCGCGCACGCCGCTGCTACCGTTTCGCGCTCGGCGCAGGGGTCCCGCACCGAAGGTCACCGCGACGAAAGGTCATTATTGCGTCTAGCCGATCCGCTCTCTCCACAGCAGGCGCGTCGTCTCGCGGCGTTCCCGTGGGCTCCAGGGAGGATGCTGATGATGATGATGATGAGGAGGAGGAGGAGGAGGAGGAGGAGGAGGAGGAGGAGGAGGAGGAGGAGCGGAAGCACCCTAGGAGGAGAGGAGGAGGAGGAGGCGGAGGAGGAGGAGGAGGAGGAGAGGAGGGAGAGAGAGGAGGAGAGAGGAGACGTCGCGAAGACCGCCGTGCTGCCACAGAGGAGGCGCTGGCCACGGCGAGCCCCGGCCACGAAGAGGCTCCTCGACCGAGACCTGCCTGCGGAGCGGCCGGAAGAAGCGGAGCCCCTGCGGGGCCCAGGGTGCATAAGGGAGCATGGCGGGACGAGGGAGCATGGCGGGAGGGCTTACTCCAACATCGTGGATGACTCTTGGGCTTACACTGGTCCTCCTCCTCCTCCTCCTCCTCCTCCTCCTCCTCCTCAATATCCGATCCCTGGTAGCAATTTTGGCTGAATAGGGGAACAACAAGTGGCATGAACATAACAACTCGGAGGTCCGCGCGGATTTCTCGGCTCGGCGCTGGACCCCCCTCCCTGGCGCGCGGAGCGCGCCAGGGGCGGCGCCGGAGGCGCCGCCGGGGGGCCCCAGCGCCGATCCGAGAACTCCGCGCTGACCTCCGAGTTGTTGTGTTTATGCCACTTTTTGTTCCCCTAGAGTGGTCCTGATTTCAGCGTCTGGACTGTATGGACCTCGGATGTCGAGAAGCTTGCAGCTTGGAGGCGGCGGGGGGGTCCGAACTGGATGGGCGCCGAGGAAATCCGCCGACCCAGTCGGCGTGTGTGAGAGGCCCTTTAATACGAGGCCAGCCCAACCCAAACTGAAGTATGCGAGCCTCGTCGCAAGGGAGATCGAACAAACAAGGGGGATCGAACAATGCCGCAATTACGTCGAAGGGAAGCCCCTTCCCTCTGTCCCTTCCCCTTCCCCGCCAAGGTTAGGTCGGGCATGTCCCCCTACAGGCGTATTTTGGGTGCATGAACATTAAAAACAATTCGCCGGCCCAACGGGCCAGGGCGTGCTAAGATCTCCGGTAACAGGTAAACAGCATTTCTAGTTCGCGCGCGCGGGGCGGCCCCTAGGAGTTCCCGGGCGAAAAGTACCCCGGCAGGTCCCCGGGAGGGTGGGGGCCAGAGATGCCGGACTTCCTGGGCGCGGCCCTGGAGGCCTCTGGAGCGCTACAGGAGCGCTCCAAGGAGACGCCGATTATGTGGCAGGCCCAGCAGCCTGAAGCCAAGAGCGCCCCAAGACGGCCCAGATGGCCTCAAGACGGCCCAAGATGCTCCCAAGACGCCCCAAGATGCGTCCAAGAGACCTCCCAAGAGGCCCCCAACAAGCCAAAATTGATGATTTTCATTTGTTTTTTGAGGATTTTGGCGTTCTCGCCTCTTCGGCTTACTAGCGCTCCAAGACGGCCCACAAAGCCCTCAATATCGCCCCAATACGGCCTACGAGGGTTCAAGACCGTTCCGAAACGACCCCAGAGAGCCCTAAGAGACCCCCAGAAACCTCCAAGATGGCCCAAGATGCCTCCAAGGCGGCTCCAAGACCGGGTCCCGACGGGGGACCGGAACGGACATTTCGCGCTCTAAGCCGCAAGACGTCCCCAGGAGACCTCATAACGCCCCCAAGAGGCCCCCGAGAGGCCCCAAGAGGCCCCCAAAAGGCCCCAAGAGGCCCCCACGAGGCCCCAGGAGGCTCTAGAAATGCTGCCAAGAGGCCCTCAAGAGGCTTCAAAGAGGCCCCATAGAGCGCTCGAGGGCCGGCGGAATGAGCGAAGCGATTAAATAAAAATGCTCAAACATAACAATAGAAAACAAAACAAAACATTGCCACCAGACTATTTTTGACCATTTTCGATTGTTCCTCCTGTAGAGGGACTTGCCCGACTTCCCCGCCAATGCGGGGGGGGTCCACAGGGGAGGGTGGTCCCGGGGGGGGGGGGGAGGCGGTCGCGGGAGGTGGTCCGGGGAGGGGTCCCTCCTCCCGGGAGGGGCCAGCATGCCAGGGCTGGACTGGACCCAGACCCCCGACGTCATGATTTTTTCATGACGCGACCCCCAAAGGTCCCGACCCCTTCCCTGGGACCCGTTTTTCATCCTGAGTCGTTTTTTGACGGTCCCGAGGCCCGGCCAGGGCCCCCAGAGGCCGAAAGTAGCGAAACAAAACCCCCGTCGTGATTTTTTCAGGACCCGAGGGGGTCGGGGGAGTGGGAGCTCCGGCCGAGGCTGCGGGCCGGGGGCGGAGCGCGAGCCGAGGCCGGGGCCGAGCGCGCGCGCGCCGAGGGCGGCGCCGGGGCCGAGGCCGCGGCCGCGGCAGAGGCGCCGGGGGCCGATAGGCGCCAGCCCGATATCGCCCCAGCAGTACCCAAAGGGCCTCCAAGAGGGCCCCAGAGCTGCCCGAAAGGCGCGAAAGACTGCCCCGAAAGAGAGCCCCGAGAGGGCCCCAGGACGGCCCACAAGAGACCTCGAAGGCGCTCAAAAGATGGCTTCCAAGGCGGCCCTGGAGCACCCCAGGAGGGCCCAAAGTCGGCACCCAAAGCGGCTTCCGACGGCGTCAGACGGGCCAGGAATGCGCTGTGAAGGCCAAAGAACCACACGAGATGCCCCCCCAAGGCCCCAAGAGGCCCACGGAGGCCCCCAAGTTGCATCCAAGAGGTTCCCAAGAAGCTCCCAGGAGGCCCCAAGAGTGCCCCCGAGGCTCCCAAGATGTCCCTTCCTCCTCCTCCGCCTCCTCCTCCTCCTCCTGAGCCTCCCCGCCATCCTCCCCCGCAGTGTTCCCCGAAGGGCTTCTGCAAAACGGCTGGGGGAGCACATGACTCGACAGCGTGGCAGAGCTCCCGCCACGACGCTCGGCCACCTGGGCGACTCCAGAAGGCAAGGGGGGGCGGCGGTGCTTCGCCGTGGGCGCCTTCGATGGGGCACCTGGCGGGTGCCCCGCCATCCTCCGCTCCCGCGCGGGCCCCCACGAGCCCCCCTTCGACATCGCCCCTCGACCTCCTCTGCCCTCGCGTCTTCCCTCCTCTCCCTCCCTCCCCACCCTTCTCCTCCCGACTGCCCTTGCCATTGTCCGTGTCTGCGGGCTCCCGCCACGTCACCCCTCTTTTCCCTTGCTCCCCACTCCTCCTCCTCCTCACCACCTCTTTCATTTCTGCCCCCCACCCCCCCCGCCTCTCCCTGAAAAGAGCTTGCCCCGATGTGCGGCCGCCGCGATCGCCGCGGCGACCCCCTACGACCAATCCGAAATGCCAGCGGGTCCACAAGGGCACCGAGTATTCGCCAGCCAGGCTGATTACCTACCAGACCACCCCAACCCAACCCGAAGACCCAAATTTGACCCGAATTTCGGGTTGGGGGGGGTACGGATTCCATGTGCTTTTTCAACGTTCCCCGACCCCCCCCCACCGGAAATGGAGGGCAAATCGAGGGCTTCGGGTTGGGTTGGGGTGGTTTGGTGGGTGGTGACAGGCTGTGTAGGAGAGGGGAGAGACCGATTTCGACCGCTCCGCGGGTTCGGTTTGCTGCCCCATGCGCCAGTGCTAGTCTCCAGTCTCCAATGGTATAATCCTGCTTTCTGTCTCCGGCTGCGAATTGTGAAAGTCCGCGCGGGGGGGGAGCCGAAAAGGGTCTTGGTTACCACCTCCTGCGGGGGGGGTTCTCAACATGCCTGGGGGGTCCTGGGGCATGTAAAAATACGTGCGATTCGCGCCCCCGAAACCATATTCCCACGTAAAGGACACTAACTTCCCGCCCTCGAAGCCATCATCCAGCGAACTGTATGCAGTATTCGCGTTCCCGAGGCCATACGCCCTCGCACATTACATTGTGTTCGCGCTCCCGAGATCACAGTTCAGCTCCGAGTCAAGTACTAATTGTTTGCGTCTCCGATGCAATATTGTCTCGTAGATGACTGGATAATTGCGTCCCAAAAACCACGATCCCTCGTAATGTACGCGTTCTTGGCGTCCCTGAACTCAGACACCCTCGTACTATACTCGCTCTCGCGGCCACAACCTTCCATAAAAGGCCCTCGAGGCGGTACAAGAGGCTTCCGAGACGGCCCAAGAGTGCTCCAAGGCGCTCAAGATGGTCCAACGATGGGCCAAGAGGCTTCCAAGAGGCCCCCAAGAGCGCTCCAAGAGCACCCCCCAAGAGGGGCCCAAGAGGCCAACATCTGCGATTTCCCCACGGTAGTGGATGGACTTTGGCACGCTCGCCTTTTCGGGCTTCCGACGCTCACAGACGTCCCAAGAGGCCCCCCAAGACCGCCCCCAAAGGGCCAAGAGGCTCTCAAGAGCGCCCCAAGACGGTTCTAGAGGGCGCGAGACTAGGCGGCGAGCCAGGGGGGGAAGTGAGAAGGGGCGGGCCTTCTCAGAAGGCTCGGAAGTCCCCCGGACTTCTGAGAAGTTTTCTAAGCCTTCCCCGAAGACACAAAAAACTTCTCATAAGCCGCAAGGACTTCTGAGAAGTCCCACCGCCTTCTGAGAAGCCCCTCTCCTTCTCACTTCCCCCCCTCGCTCGCCGCCGAAAGACGGCTCAAGAGACCCCCAGGACGGCCCAATAGGGCCCCTAAGACAGGCCCAAGGAGCGAGCCGAGACGGGGGAGCCCGAACGCAGACCCCCGTTTGGAGTTCCGACGCCGCTTCACGACGGCGCCCGGGCCTCACAGCAGAGCTCTTGCATGCCCCTCCGAGACACACCGGGTGTTGCCAGAAGCGCCCCCGGCCCAGGGTGCCCCCGGCTTTTCGCTCCGTCTTGGAGTCCCTGGGGCCCTCCGGGCCTCGTGATGGGGTGCCCTGGAGGCCGCCTGGGCCACCCTGAGAAGCCTGGGGGTACCTTGAGCCAGGGGTACTTCTAGCAACACCCGAAGAGAGGGGGCCGGCGGCAGGGGAAGACTTCCTTCCAGATGCTTACAAGTACGAGGAGCCGAACAAGAGGGATCGAGCTGCGCATGCACAGTAGTCTAGGCTGGTGGTGACGTGACCTGACTTGCCAGATGTTCGTCTCGGACCCCAAAAGGGCAACAGCCTCACGGGGAAGCTGGGCCGCTTAGGACCTCTTCCACCACGGAGAGCTCCATGCCCCGCCACTTCTTCACTCGGCGACCCGCCGAGCCGATCCCAGTCTCGGCCACCTGGCTCGTAGTCCAAAACCTGTCCGGGTTTCCGCTCTAGCCATGGCTTTAGCCGAGATGGAGGAGAGGAGAAGGAGGAGGAGGAGGAGGAGGAGGAGGAGGAGGAGGAGGAGGAGAAGAAGGAGGAGGAGGAGGAGGAGGAGGAGGAGAAGCGGGACGCCGACGACGGCGACGACGACGACCCCACAAAAAGCAGCTTTCGATCGGGCGCGCGGGCGCCCCCACGTGCGTGTGGCCAGCGGCCAGCAGCGAAAAAAAAGGCCCTGACTCTCATTCGGCACATTTTCGGGGGTGGACAGAACCCCCAACAGTGACACGTCGATTAGTGAATTGTCCGTTTTCGGTTCTCGAGAGGGCGCCGTGGCCGTTATTTTTCCAGGCTGGCGCCCGCCAGGTTTGGGCCTCAGGTCGTTTTCACGAAACCACCTTTTACTAAAGGGAGGTCTGTCCATCCCCGACACATGGGGCTACGGGCGCGGGCGCAACTAATCTGGCACGGCGCGCGACCCGCATGGCGAACCGCAAACGGCTCCAGAAGGGAGCGGTCGATGGGCACATCGGGCTACGATCTCGGGCGCGGCTGATCTGGCCCAGCGTGCAGCAAGGAATGCATGGGAACTGCGATGCTGGGAGGATGTATCATGACCGTGCCACAGCATTTGAGATGGCTATCCGAATGTCAAGGACCGCTCGGATGCCCCAAGTTTGGTCGATGCCCGTGACGCGCTACATATCCTCATCACCACTCCACCCCCTCTCTTCATGTTTACCTTCCTGACTGCAATGCCGCACATGGCGAGCCGCAAACTGCTCCAGAAAGGAGCGATCGAAAAATGATGCTGCGAGCGCGGGCGCAACGAATCTGGCCTGGCATGCAGCAGAACAATCGTGAACCATCGGTATTACTGTGGTTAGTGTTCCTCGCTGCCCTTACACTCAAGCCTGCGGTGAAACAACACGCTGATACGGTCAAGCTAAGAACTGCGCTCGCACGTGGAGCGCGGCATGAAACGCTTGACATGTCCTGCGAAGATCTATTGCCCGAACTGGTTGAAGCAGCTTCCGTGAACTGACGCGCTCTCTCTCTCTCTCGATCGCGTTCGTTATGTAGTTGTTTGTTGTTCTTTCTTTATTTCTCTCTCTCTCTCTCTCTCTTGGTTTGTCTCTCTCTCTCTCTCTCTCCCTCTCTCTAGAATCGCTTCGCAGCGGGGCAGTCGACGACATGCCGAAGTTTTCGAACTCGCGATGCGATCATCACAACTCTCGCACCAGCGCGATCGTTCTGCCAGGCAACAACTATATGTGTGTATATATATATATATATATTCGAGATCAACCATTTCGAATGTCTTGCCCCTGGTTCCCAGGCAGCCGCGGACGCAGATGTACTCTTGCCAGCAGGAGCGGGGAAGCTATCCAAACCCACCATTTCTCCTGAAGGTCCTGCCGAGACATCTCCTGGGCGGGCTCGGACCCAGCCAGGATGCTGACGTCTGCGGTCTGGTGGCGTGCGTGCGAAACAAGTGACCGCACACACTCTCGGACGCGCGCACGCCCCGAAATACAGATCAACGCTTCAAGCGCCACGCGCCATATTGAAAATCCGCGAGCGGCCACGCGCCGAATTAAAAATCAACGTTCGGAGCCCCTCCCCGTCCTCACTCGCACCGCACCCGCCCACTCCGAGTGCCTCCATAGCCTCGGGCCTCCGGACGCCAAGGCCCCCCTCCCCGGACTATACAAGGGCCCCCTTCCCCGGACTACAGGGGCCCTGCCCCACTAATGGGACACCCTCCTGGACTGCAATAGGACCCCGCCTGGCCTGCAACTGCACTGAAGAGGCCGTGGGACACACGAACAAATCTACATAAATAACAAGATTCTCCATTTTGTCCTATCTTTTCTGGGTTTGGGTCTCCCCCTCCCCGAGTCCCATATTTTCCCATACTTACTAGGGCATCGACGATCAATTGTGTCTGTGATTGTTTCCCTCCTGATCCACCCTCTGGGACTACAAGGAGTATCCGCTGTCCGTGCCGGTCCGTGACCATCGGGCCGCCCAACAATGACGGCCGGGCGCGGCGACCACTCTCGGCATGCCGGCATGCCGCCGCGAATGGCCCGGCAGCCGAAGCGATGCAGCCGAGAAGTGCCACGTGGCGTGACCTCACGTGCTGCAAGAAAGCTGAAGCCACGCCCTCCAAACCATGCCCTCACAGGCACGGGCGGGCTCCCACCAATCGGAGCGCGCACGACTCCGGAGCTCGCTCCGCTTCGCTTCGCCCTCCTCCTCGCTCACGCCTGCGGCGGCACCCCCGGCGACATCCATCCCGACGAGGGCGGGGTGGCGTCGTTGGCGCCGCCAGCCCGAGGGCCTCGAGGGTGGCGAGGGGGCCTGTCGGTCACCCGCCGCGCGAGCCACCCCACACCGCTGGCGGGGGGCCGCCGCCGCTGGCCGGCGGGTGGTCCGGGGCGAGCGCCCAGCCGCGGGGCGGAGGCATGCCCGCGACCGCGCCCCAGAGGCCGGCGACCTCCGCCCGGAGGGCCCGCTGCTCGTCCTGCAGCGCGTGCAGGCCGGCCAAGATCTCGTCCAGCTTCTTGTCCGCGTCGACGCCCGCGGTGGCCGTCACCTGCACGTCGCTCGGCCTGCGGGACGCGGCGCGGGCTTCGGTGTTGCTGTGCGGCTCCGAGGCGGGGGCGAGCCGCTCGGCGAGGCCACGGCTGCCGCACAAGGCCCAGGACTTTGACGCCGCCCGGGTCCCGTCCGCGCCCTCGCGCTGGCTCACCTTGGCGATCTGCCGGCCCAGCGACTCCATCTGCTGCGCGACAAAGATCCGGAGCTCCACCATGTCTTTGACCCGCGCGCTGTTGCCGCCGCGCAGCCTCATCACCACGTCGAAGAACTCCTTGAAACTTAAGAGTCCGTCCGCGTCGCAGTCGTAAATCTGGTCGGCCAACAGTATCAAGCTTTCTGGGTCCGTGCCGAACTTCGTCAAGACATCGTGAGTCTCAGGGCACTGCATGAGGACGTTGAACTCTACCCTGCTGATGTGGCGATCCCCGCTCGTATCGAAATCATTCAGGATATTCAGCAAGTTATCAATCAGGAATTTCGCCTGATTATCGGAATGATCCTTGGCAGACACCTTATGGACGACATCGCACAAAACACCAATAAGCAGATTAAGTACAGTAAAACTGCTCATGAATATGAATACCAGAAAGGCGAATAAGAGCTCTGGCCACTTATCTGCAATCTCCAAATAGAGCACACTCGGGCTGTCCAACAGTGTTCCATGCATCAATAGCGTCATCATTGATTTGAAAACGCTTGGGAACAGATCGTCCTCCAAAGGGTCGCCTTTCACCTGGGTCTTGAATACTATGGCGAAAATGAAGAGCAATCCGCTCAACAGTATCACTGTGAATGAGACTGTCCGCAGCGAAGCCGCGATGCCCCTAACGAGCATCATCAACTCTGGTATCGCTCGCAACAACCGCGCTATCCGAGAGAGCCTCAACAATCTCAACGTGTGGAATACCCCTATGTCGGTGCCGGTGTCGCTGGTGCCTGAATTGATAACAGCCGCGCTCGTTGGCAGCACAACAATCTCCACAAACATTAGAGCCACCAGAAATGCATCGAACAAGAACCATCTATCACACAGTGCTTCCGACCTGTGATTGTATGCCTTCCATCGGATGAGCAGTTCTGCGCTGAAGTATAATGAGAACAAGACCTCGACCATCTGAACTTCCATCTCTGCGTGGACGAAGCCGTCGCAACGGTGACTGTCGGTGTCGACCCATATCCATGCAGCATTTACCACGACCATCAACATGGACATGAAGAAGAACCACTGAGTCGTGGCGACTCTGGCCCACCTGTTTTCGATGTTCGAGGACGGGGGAACGAAGCTCCGCACGGAGGAATGCGAGCCGTTGTTCGACGACCGGTGCCGCATCCAGAAGGTGTTGACGTCCTCCTCCTTCTTCTCCAGGAGGGCGAGGATCTGCTCCGTCACGGCGTCGCGGCGCGCCTCGTACTCTTCCTGCGCCTCGAGCCGCCAGCGCCCCGTGCTGGCCAGGTGCCTCAGCCTGCCCAGGGCCCACTGGGCGTGGAACAGCAGGCCCGTGGGCCCGCACCGCCGCACGCGGTGCCTGCGGTCGCTCCATGGGTCGTGCTGGACCATGTCGTTGAAGAAGATCTCTACCATGGGGTAGGGCTGGTCCTCCTTCTGCTCGTCGCCTGCCGGGCGGACCAGCCTGAGGCGCACCTTGGACTCCCCGGCCAGGAAGGCGGCCTCGATCTTCCTGGCAACGCCTTTGCTGTACGGCTGCCACCCGGTGGAGTGCTCCCTCTGCCAACGCGCGCTTGTCTCCGCGATGGTGCTCCCGGACGACCTGAGGGTCGACCCCCTCGAATACAGGTGGGCGGGCCCTGGACCAGTCGAGCCAGTCAAGGACTTCTCGCCGTGGGGCGTGGGGGTCTCGTCGTCGTCCGCGAAGTGGTACTGCGGCGTCCTCTCGCGCTGGAGGTCTGGCTGCGCGCTCTCGGCCGGCTGCGCGCTCTGGGAGCGGCCGCGCCTGCGGGGCTGCTGCGGCGAGTCCTCCCCGCCCGCCGCGTGGCTGGCCGCCCCCGGGAGCCGGAGCTCCACGCCGCCGCCGCCGCCGGGCGCGCGGCCCCGGGGGCTCGCCGCCCGCGCCCTCGGGGGCTCCTCGGCCGGAGCGGTCAGCATCCTCCCCCCGCGCGGCCGAGCGAAGCGGGCTCGGCGGTGATCTCTCGGAGGGGGAGCGTGCCGTCAGGGTTTGCGGTGGGTGCCGGGGGCGCTGCGAGGCCGACCCTCTGGAGCCAAGATGGGCAGGGGCGACTCTCCTCTCTCCTCTTTCTCTTCCTCCTCCTCCTCCTCCTCATCCTTCTCCTTCTCCTCCTCTTTCTCCTCCTCATCTTTCTCTTCCGCCTCCTCCTCCTCCTCCTCCTCCTCCTCCTCCTCCTCCTCCCCGTCCTCCTCCCTGGAAGGAGTTCTGGGACGAGGTCGTGTGCACGAGCACGCCCCAGCAGCTGTCCGAGCTGGTGCTCAGTTCCGTTGGCGGCCGAACAAAGGCAAGAAGGACGACGCCGACGAGCAGAAGGGCAGGATCGTGTGGGCCGTGGACCCGCACCACCAGCACTCGCAGACGCTCCGCCAGCTCATCCTGAAAACCATGATCGCCCTCAAGGGCATCTGCAGGACAAGAGCCGCTCCCAGAGGCCCACTCGAGGGGGAGGTCGCCCGCACTACCGAGGCCCAGGGCACAGGGAAGTTCTCCGGAGAGTGGGAGAAAACGTGATGGGAGGAGCTCTCTGTGTTACCCAGCACCAGTTCTGAGCCCACGCGTTTTCGTGTAGCAGACCGGGCAAGTATAATCGGCAGCATGTTCGCCTCAGGAAGCACTTTCGAGTTAGCGGCGGGGGGGGGGAGTGGGGGAGCGGGGGAGCGGCGGTGGGCGGGGAGAGCCGAGTAGGCAGCGCGCTCGGCCTCCGACGAGAGGCGAGGCTGCCTGGCCGAGCCGCGTGAGGTGCCAAGAGCTCTCGAGGAGCGGGAGGCTCCCGGGGGCACGGACGCCTGGGGAGGAGGCCCCTTCCTTCCCCACCCGTCGCCCTCCCCCCTCGTCCTTCGGGGGGGGGGGGGGGGTTCGCGCCCCGGCCCCTCGAGGGCGACCTCCTGAGATGCGTGCCCGTAAAGAGGGCTGCCCTCAGGGACAGTGCCCCCACGTGGGCGAGAGCGCAGGGCTCGCGTCCAGAGGCGACTGGCGTTCGGGCGTGATGCCCCCCGGGAGCCCGCGGAGTTGTGAATGCCAGACCGCTGCTTTGCACCAGGACTCCGTGGGTTATTGCCTTGCTTGCTTGACCCTCCTCCTCCTCCTCCTCCTCCTCCTCCTCCTCCTCCTCCTCCTCATCCTCATCCTCTTTCTCCTCCCCTCCCTAATTTTTCTTTCCACCCCTCCTCCTCCTCCTCCTCCTCCTCCTCCTCCTCCTCCTCCTCCTCCTCCTCCCTCCAACGCCCGCCCCATGTTCCAAGCCTGTGGCAGGGTCATCAACTCGTCGTTGTCTTTGTCGTCGTGGTCGTCATCGTGGTCGTGGTCGTGGTCGTCATCCCTCTGGGTCGGCGGCACTGGCCGTGGCCTTCACAATCTGTGAAGAAGGGGGGGAGGGAGGCCAAATCCGCTCAAAATCGGTTCTCGGACCCCTCCCGCGGTCCATCTGGGTCAATGTTTCACCCCGGATCCGTTTTTGACGGTCCAGGGGGTCTGGTTTCGACGGTCCCGCGAAAACGAGTCTGGAGAACCTAAAAAGGCAAAACAACCCATCCGAACCCAGAACCTCGATCTTCGCCCCCCCCCCCCCCCCCCCCCCCCTCTGCTGGCCAGAACCAATGTTGGGCCACCTCAGGTTGGCGGCATGCCCAGGGGGGAAAGTGAAGGCCTTCTCAGAAGGCGGCAAGGCCTCTCAGAAGCCCTCGCGCCTTCTGAGAATTTTTCTGCGTCTTTAGAGGCCTCCTCGATGGGGTCCGAGTAGATGGGGTCGAAGGATCGAGCCACATCGCTGATGTCGGCGATGCATTGGCGCCGTCGGCGTGGCGAACGTCGGGCTTCGCATCGAGCCGCATCGCAGATGCATCGGCGATGCGGCGCGATCCTCCGACCCCATCTGCTCGGACCCCATCTGTCGGGCTGGGCGAAAGGGGGGGATAGCAAAGGGGGGGTCGAGAATCAACTCACGTAGCTGGTTGTCCCGGCGCCTCCCGGCGCCGGAGGCGGCCATGCATCGAGGAATGGGCCCGGCGGCGGGGCCGAAACCAGCTGCATGCAGCAGACTTCGTACCCCCCCCTTTCCCTATCCCCCCCCTCTCGTCCGGCCCGAACCTGGCCATCCGAGAGAAGGCCGGCCATCCGAGAAGGCCCGCCCCCCCCCCCGAGCGCGCCCCCGATCCGACTCCCAGCCGGCCCCATGCGGCGCAGCGAGCCCGTGAGCGCAGGAGAGCGCGGCCGCCTCGCCCCCCGCAGGGCGGGGCCGACGGGGCCGCCGCGGGCGGAGCGGCCGCGGGCGGAGCAGCCCTGGCCTTGGGCTCGCGCCCCGGCTCCGCGGCCAGCCTCAGGGCCTCGCAGGTCTCCCTCCCCTCGCGGAAGAACTCCAGGCGGTTGGCCACCAGCTCGGCGTCCTCCTCCCGCGGCGCGCGGGCGCGGCGCGGCCCGCGGGGCGGCGCGGCCTCCCCGAGGCCTCCCCGCGGCTCGGCCTCCGCCCTGCGGGCGCTCCGCGCGGCCCAAGCGCTGGAGGTCCCGGAGCCTCCGCGAAGCCGCGGCTCGGTGCTCCGCCGCCTCTAGCCCCTTAAAACAGGGCTAGGATCGGGATGAATCGCTCCAGAGCGTTCCGGAGCGCTCTCAGAGCGTTCCGGAACGCTCTGGAGCGGCCGCGGCGCCCAATACATCCTCCAAACCCGCCGATTCTCAGAGATTTCGAGTCATCCCGATCCGATTTTGTCCCGATCCTCGCGTCGTTTTACCCCCCCCCCCCCGGGGGGCGCTCGGCGCAGGCCGGCCCGGGAGGCCCCTCCCGCGAGCTTCCCGCGCCGGCGCGCCCAGGGGCCCCTGCCGCTGCGCGCTCCCCTCGGGAGCGAGGCCTCGGCCCCGCGGCGGCGGCCGGGCGTTCGTTTCCAGCAGGCGGGGGTGGGGGAGGAAGGGAGGGAGAGGAGGAGAGGAGGAGGAGGAAGGAGGAGGAGGAGGGGAGGAGGTAGGAGGAAGGTGGAGGAGGGGAGGAGGAGGAGGAGGAGGAGGCGGGGCCTCACGGCCTGGCGGTGGGGGGGCCTCTCGGCTCCAGCCCGCGGCCACCTCCCCCCCTCGGGCTTGCGAGGCCTCGGCCGCGCTGCCGCGGCCCCCGGGGGCCTCTCGGGACGCCCCGCCCGGCCAGCCAGAGCGGCTCCACTTCTGCAACCCACGGCTCGCGAGGCCGTCTGCCCAGACCCCCCGGCGTCGTGGTTTTTTCGCAGGGTCGACCCCCAGAGGTCTGGACCCCTTCCCCGGGACAGGTTCTCCGTCCCGAACCGTTCTGTTGACGGCCCCGTGGCCCGGTGAGGGCCCTCGCAGGCCGAAAAGAGCGAAAGACCTGCCGTCGTGAATTACAGTCGCGGCGTTGACCTAAGGAACCCTAAATGAGGAACGAGGCCCCTTTTTTTCCACAGGTTAAACTTCGATTTCCGATCGAAAACATAAGGAAAACCTGAGGCACGCTGTGAAACAATTAAGGAACACGGAGCCCCTCCCCAACGAAAAGGGTTCCTTCTTCAGGGCCCCGACTGCATTTGTTCGCAACGATCCACACTTTTGAAGGTCCACACCTTGGAAAGGAGCCGCTATATCCATCCGTGCAGCTGCTGGCGAGGCCTTCCGGCCTGACGGTGCCGGGGCCTCCGGGGGGGGGCCCCTCCCCTCCAGAGGCCAGGCGGCCCCGCCGCCCCCCCCTCCTCTGGGACTTGTTACAGTCGGGACGTTGACCTAAGGAACCCTAAATAAGGAACGAGGCCCCTTTTTCCATAAGTTAAACTTCGACTTCCCATCGAACATGTAAGGAAAACCTTAGGCAAGGTGTGGAATAGTCAAGGAACACCGAGCCCCTCCCCAACGAAAAGGGTTCCTTCTTCAGCGCCCCGACTGTAGGTCTCGGGCCCGCGTCTGCGGCTCTGGGCCCTCGGCGCCTGCTTCCCGTTGGACCGCAGGCGGATCCCCCATGCCCTCCCGCAGCAGTCTCCTTCCCTTCCCTTCGCCCGCTCCCTCCTCCTGCATCTCTCCCTCTCCCGTCCCCCCCCCTCACCTCCTCTCCTCTTCTTCTCTCTCCTCCATCATCTTCCCTCTCCCTCCCTCCTCCCCGCTCCTCCCTCCTCCCTCCTCCTCCTTCTCCTCCTCCTCCTGCAAGACTCCTCCTCGGCCTGCCTCCTCCTCCTCCTGCTCCTCATCCTCCTCCTCTTTCCACTCCTCCTTCTCCTCCTCCTTACACGGGAGACTGACACGGGATGGATTCCGGAGCCCAAATCCAATGTGCAAGTCGGGCCTTCGACTGCCAGGCCACACCTTGCCTCAAGAATCGTGAAGAGCCCAGGTGCCTATGGAATGCCTGAGAGGGATGATGCCCTAGTCGAGAATCGCTCGGGCCCAGTCAGCTTGAAGGACCGACCACGGCAGTGTCAGCACAGGAGGCGAGCGTCTTCCCAGACCTCGAGCGTCATGGTTTTGTTTTCGCTGCACCGCATTATTGTTAGCCAGCGTGGACCCCCAAACAATGCTTGCTTGAGACCTGTGCAGTGCAGTCTAGGTGGCGACATCAATGTGTTGCAGTCTAGGTCGTGCAATCCAGGTGGTGCAATCTATGTTGTGCAATGCAATGCACAGCAATGCAAAGCAATCCAACGCCATGCAACGCAATGCAATGCACAGCAATGCAAAGCAACGCCAAGCAATATCAACCAATACCAAACAATGCCACGCAATGCCAAGCAACGCTAAGCAATGCCAAGCAATCCAAAGCAATGTCGAACAACACCTAGCAATGCAAATCAATGCAACGCAACGTCATTCAATGCACAGTAACGCAAACGGGTGCAACACAGATCATCGCAACGCAATGCGGCATGTAAAGCGACGTAGCATGCAAGCCAGTGTAAGCCAGTGCAACACAGTGCAGCGCAAGGCGAGGCAATGCGACGCAACGCAACACAAACCAATGCAACGCAATGTGGCACGATGCAGTGCGATGCAAAGCAAGGCGAGCCACAGCAGTGCGATCGCAGTGCGAAGCAAGCCAACGGCGACAGTGGCGGCGGGCGGCGACGAGCCGGCTGGACTGCCACTGGGGGGCGCAGTTGCCGGCGGCGACGGCGGCGGCGACGGGCGGCGAAGAGCCAGCCGGACCGCCACCGGGGCTCAGGTGCGTTAAGAAATGTGAGCCAGCGGTTGCCAGCGTACACCCTAAAACATGATCTATTGCAATATATGCGGTGCAATGTAGGCGGTCCCATCAATGTGGTGCAGTCTAGATGGTGCAATTCGTGTGGCGCAATCTATGTGGCGCATGAAGATACAAAGCAAGGCAAAGCAAGGCTGAACAATGCAAAGGAGTGACAAGCAATGCAACGCAATGGAATGCAGTGCAAAGCAAAGCAATGCCAAGCAATTCAATGCAAAGCAATACATCACAATGCACATCAATTCAACTCAATACAACACGGTACAACGCAATGCAAAGCCATGCACCGCAATGCAGCACAATGCAGTGCAATGCAACGCAATGCAAAGCAAAGTAATGCAAACCAATGCCAAACATTGCAAACTAAACCAAAGCAATGCAAACCACTTCAAAACAACGCGAGTCAAGGCACTGTAACGCGATTGCAATGCAACACAATGCAATGCGGTTGCAATGCAGTGCGATTGCAACGCGAAATCAGTGCAACGCAATGCAATTGCACTGCAGTGCAATGCAATTTCAATGCAACGTGGGGGGGGGGGGGGGAAAGGTGCAACGGGGGCGGCGGAGACGGGCGGCGACGAACTGGCCAGACCGTCACCGGGGACCAGCAGCGACGGCGGCGACGGGCGGCGATGAGCCGGCTGGACTGGCCCTGGGGCCCAGATACTTTGAGGGGGAGGAGGAGGAGGAGGAGGAGGAGGAGGAGTAGAACAAAAAAGAACCCGTAAGTGCAAGCACCGTTTGGATAGCAAGTAAGCGCCCGCAAGTGCAAGCACTGTTTGGGATCATTTGGGAACTGAAGACTTGGTGGAGCGCGGGGCAGCTCACCCTGTGGCGTAACCCATGGCACAAACGATGCTGTGCAAAGAAACATTGGGAGCTCGAGATTTGCTAATGCACGGGGGGTATGGCTATAGAGGCTTCCTAGATGGGGTCCGAGTAGATGGGGTCGGAAGATCGCACCGCATCGCCGATGCATCGGCGATACATCGAGGATGCATCGGCGATGCATCGGCGTCGTCGGCGATGCATTGGCGACGTCGGTCGGCGTGGGGAAACACGGGCTCCACATACAACTCAATCGCGAATGCATCGGTGATCCGGCGCGATCCTTCGACCCCATCTGCTCGCACCCCATCTAGGAGGCCTAGAGACTAACCCATGGCGCAAACTATGGCGCACCCTACTAAAGGTGTACTGAATGGAGACAGTACGAGTTGGTAGTGCAAAGGGGTGTCTGGCGCAACCTATGGCTTCACCTATGCGGGATAGACAGAAACGGTAAATCAATATTTGATAGTTCGGAGGCGACGACAGGAGCGAACAGCCTAGGGGTGAAGCAATACATGTACGTATCTAGGGGCGCCGATGATCCATGTCTTCGGCGAGGCTTCTGGGCGAACACTTGTAATGCCCGCCACTGGGCTATTCGCACTTATCGTCGCCGCCGAAGAGTGCGTGGGGTGTCTGACGTGATGACTGGGGCCACTGATCGAGCCTAGATGGACCAGGAAAGCCGCGAACTGTCTGGCTCTACGGCGCAACCTGTGGCATGCGCCGCTCGGGATCTCTCGTCTGGCTGAGGTTTCAATCCGCGGGGCCCAGAACTCTCGAACCCTCCCCTGGAATCATCTTTCGCTCTGGGCGGGCCGTTCGGACGACCCCACTGCGCGGAATGCCGCTACCCCTCCGGACCTCTCCCGGGATACGTTCTGCGCAGAACCCCGCGGAAAATTCATAGAGGCCTCCTATCGGCGATGCATCGGCCATGTATCGGCGACGTCGGCGATGCATCGGCGACGCCGGCGTGGAGAAAATCGAGCTCGACATCGAGCCGTGGTGGCGATGCATCGGCAATGCGGTGCGATTGTACGACCCAATCTACTCCGACCCCATCTGGGAGGCCTAGAGTTCAGTCGTGGCGACGAGGGCTCTCCAGGAGGAGCAGCGGTATCGGTATCTTTTCCTCCTTTGACGACCCCCCTGTGATCCTCGTCGCCCAATGTTCGGGTCATAACTTGGGTCTCTGGCGGCCGTTCGAGACGATCAGAGCCCCCTCGGGACTCTCTCGGCGTGGCACAGCTGAATGAGAGCATCTCGAGGCAGAGAAACCTTCAGGAGCCAACGAAAACGTTGAATCCCTCTGGGAGTAGGTGGTTCAACGAGAGTTTGTCTTCTCTCTGCCAAAGTCCCTCCGTCCCCTGCTGGGGGGAAGGGTTTACCCCTCTCCTTCCCCCCTCCTCTGGGCCTTGGAGGGGGGGGGACAGAGGGGTCATAGCGTCGCAAGATGGCTCCAAGAGGGCGTCCGAGAGCTCACGATCGCTTCCAAGATGGCCCAAGATAGCCGGAGATGGCTCAAGGTAGTCTTCAACATGCATCCAGGAGGCCTTTAGACAGGCCCACGACGGTTCCAACTGTCCTTGGAAGCTTCCAGGGTACCTCCCAAGAGGCTCAACTCCTTCACAAACACCTAGGGGAAACCGATGTTGTTTGCCTTTTCGCCTTTTCGCTTCCGATGGGTCTCGGAGGCCTCCAGATGGCCCCAAGCCGGCCAAAGAGTGACCGAAGTGGGGCCCGAGACGGCCCCAAGAGGGCCCCAAGGGTGCCCAAGAGCGCTACACGAGCGGCCCAAGAGGGCCCCAAGACGCTATGGGGGGGGGCTGATTCAGCCCCCCCCTCCACCTCCCCCTAATTCACCACCCCAGGCCCCCCCCCCCCCCCCCCCTTTTTTTGTAAGCCATGGGACCACGCGGCCTCTCAGAGAGCCACCCCCCCAAGGAGCCCCATATAGGGCCCCAAGAGTGTCCCCAAGAGGCCCCATTGGTGCTTCAAGACTTTCAAGAGAGCCCTAAGATGGGCCTTCGTCGTCCTAGTATCAAGAACCTCTCACAACAACATACCTCCAACGCTAGCTCGACTTCTCATCCTCCTTGTCATCGTCCGTTCCTTCCCTCCTCTTTTCCTGCCTCCTCCTTCCTCCTTCCTCCTCCTCCTCCTCCCTCCTTCTCCTCATCTTCCTCGTGCCGCATTCCGCTTCCTCTCTTCCTCCTCCTCCTCCTCCTCCTCCTCCTCCTCCTCATCTTCCCCCTCCCTCTTCTCTCTTTTCCTCCTCTCCTCCTCCTCTTGCTCCTCCTCATCCTCCGCATCCTCCTCCTCCTCCTCTTGCTCCAACTACTCCCAAGATGGTCCCAGAAGGTCGAGCATGGCTGAAGATAGCCTCTGACAGACCTCCACGAGGCCTCAAGACAGCCAGAATACGATCCGGCACAGCTGAGCATGGCTCAGGACAGTCTGCGGCAGCTTCTGGCCGGACATGGCTCAGGAGAGCCCCCAAGAGGCCTCAAGAACGCCTCCGATCGTGTCTGGATGGGCTGGTGGGGATAGGCGAGCCGTCAAGGACTCTGTGCTCGGCCGAGCTGGCGGTCGCAGGCGCGTGGGAGCCGAGACCGGCGAGACGCGCGCCGGGCGCGAGCCGCGACGAGAAGACGTCGAACGCCCGATGGCACGTCCCGCCCGGAGGAGCGTCCTCCGCGGCGCCCTCGACCACGAACGCGGCCTGCTCCTCGTTGCTCGTGAGGCTCTGCATCGCCCCGCGCGCCCCCGCGCCGCGCGTCCACAGCTTGGGTGGGCCGCGCTCGCGCGCGCGGGCGCGCGGCGGCGCCTCTGCAGGTGGACAGGCTGCGCGCTGCGGCGCGGCGGACGCTGCCTCCAGGAGGACAGCGAGCAGCAGGGCACGGTACAGCAGGCACATTACGATGAGAGACCCTGCTACGAGAGACCTTGGGTCACACTCTTCGTCGATCTTCATATGTGTACACGCGCACACATGTACATGCAAGCATAGGCATATATATATATATATGTGTATAGAGAGATATCAGAATATCAAAAGAGAGAGAGAGAGAGAGAGAGAGAGAGAAAAAAACAGAAAAACATATTTTGTTTTGCTGTGGACGACTGCCGGCTAGGCTCTCGAAAGGACTAACAAGCAGGCTTAAAATATAGAACAGAAAGAAATAGAGAGCGAGAGAGAGAGAGAGAGATCAAGAGCGAGGACGAATAGCTTCGGTCGCCACGCGCGCGTGCCACGCGGCGCGCGAGCGGGGCGGCCACGGGCCCCGAAGCGCGAGGGCGGAGACGCCCCGCGCGCACGCGCGGCGTCATCCATGCCCGCCGCCGCCCGCCCGAGGCCCCCGAGGAGCGCTCCCTCCCGCGGCGGAGTCGGACAGGTCCCACCTCCTCCCCCACCTCCCTCCTCCTCCCCCACCCTCCTCCTCCTCCTCCTCCTCCTCCTCCTCCCCGCCTCCTCCTCCCTCCTACCCTCCTCTCTCAATCCTCCGCCTCCTCCTCCTCCTCCTCCCTCCTCCTTCCTCCTCCTCCTCCTCCTCCTCCTACCTCCTCCTCCTCCTCTTCCTCCTCTCTCCTTCCTCCCCTCCTCCTCCAACCTCCTCCACCTCCTCCTCTCTCCTCCTCCTCCTGCCTCCTCCTCCTTCCTCCTCCTGCTCCTCCTCTCCTCCTGCCTCCTCCTCCTCCTCTCCTCCTCCTCTCCTCCTCCGCCTCCTCCTCCTCCTCTCCTCCCCTCCTCCCTCCTCCTCCGCCCTCCACCTCCCCCTCCTCCCCTTCCTCCCCCTCCCCCTCCCGCCTCCTTCTCCCCCACCAATCCCGGCCCCCCCGGCCCTTCGCCCCAGCGACCCTCCCCCCTGTACAGTCGGCCTTGATTGGACAGGATACTCGCGAGCACACGAGACCCTTCCGAGTCCGAGGGCCACAGCGCCAGAGGAGTGTAAGAAGGCACGGGTCGCGAGGCACAGGAAACAAGGGTACCCTTCGAGCTGGCAGGGTCGACCTACTAATCCGGGCCGACTGTAAGCGGCCCCCCCCCCTCCCCAGCAGGAGGCAACTCGTGCGAGGTCTTCGTCAGAACGATTGGGGGGACTCCAGGCCCGACGAGGAGGCCACCGAACCCGACTAGGCCAGACTGAACCCCGGATCAAGCCGGACTGAGCTGGAATAGGCCGGATTCAGCGGGACTGAGCCTGAACGAGCGGGATCAAGCCAGATTCGGCCAATTTTCGACCTGGGATCTACCAGCGCCGATGCTGAATTTCACCTCTCAGGAATCAGTTTTTCATTATTCGGCGAGTGCCTGGGTTATCTGACGAGGGGGAGAAAAGGGAGAGGTGCTGGCCAGTAACCTAATCTGCTCTCTCTGGGCAGCCCCACGCATGCACGCGCGCACCAAATACTGCGTACCCCCTTCGGACCTGCGCGACCGAGAAGGTCAAATTATCTGGGGGGAGTGGGGGGTCCGGGCCCGATAGTCCAGGTTACAGCCGAAAATGCGATCATGAAACTTATCATTTAAGAAATCTGGGCCATCTTCCCCGAAGTTTCCTAAATCAAGCCGGGACCGATGTCTGTTGTTCACGTTGGAGGGGCGAACGTGCTCAAGGGACTGGGCCAGCTTTCGGGCAAGCTTCTCAAGAGACGCTGGCCCAGCTTTTCGGGAGGAGGCTTCTCAACCAGAGGGCATGGGGGGGGAGGCTTCATGGAAGGAGGCTTCTTAGAATGCGCCGACCTCACCTTCGTGATAAGATAAGGCCCGTGCCTTCCAAGAAAAAAGCCTCTTCCTGAGAAGCCTTCCCCCCTCCCCCTGCCCACCTCTGCGCGTGGGCGAATTTGCTTGTCGGGATCTCACCCGGGTCTCCGGCGGCCGCTCGGGACGATCCGGGCACCCCCGGAACGCCCTCGGCGAGGCGCAGCTGCTGGCACGCACGCCGAGGCCGGAAAGCCGTCGAGAACCAACGAAACCGCCCGAAAGCCTGGAAACTCGAACACCGAAAAGCCCAAGCGCTGCCAGAGAAACCGAAACGACCCCCCCCCCCTTCCCACGAGTGCGCGTGGCCGAGCATCGGCGGACCTTCAATGGAACGGCCTTCGGGAGTTGCATCCTCATGCAATATCAGCTCGACCACAAGAGATCTTCCACAAGAAACCCTACCCTGAGACCCCAGGACGTCTATTGACTTCTGGTGTGGGAACGTCACGCTCTTCAAAACAAAAGCCATCGGAACCCAAGAAACCCAGGGCACCCTGGAGGCGAGCCAAGGTGTTTCCTGGCATCGGCATCCACTTCACACTACGTTACCGGGCGCAGAGGCGGCCGGCCCGCGCGGCCCGCGCGCGGATCGCGCGCCTGCCTTCGGGAGCCTGGCCTTGAGCCCAGCCCAGATGCCCGCGCTCGACCTTCGCCGTCGTCGTCGTCGTCGTCGTCGTCGTCGTCGTTGCATCCTCGAGAAGTGAGGGTCAGTTGTCCAGGGTCGACCATCGAGGATCGATCATCGATCCTCGAGGATCCTCGACTCGACGATGCTGATCCTCGCGGGTTTCCGATCCTCCCGATCCTCGAGGATGCTCGACCCTCGATTCCATCCTCGATTTCGACCACCATTTTCGAGGGCTGAGCACTCCGACCTCGGAGGCTTTTGCTGCCCCTCCGTTGACCCTTCGGAGGCCTGCACACAGGCCTCCGGGGGTGAGTGCGGTCGTGACCGGTTCCTGAGGAGGCCCGGGAGGGGGGCAGCCCAGGCTTCCAGGCACGAAGAGGGCACGCGCCGCCGTGGACAGACACCCGCAGAGGGTCCGAAGAGGTGGGCAGCAGCATGAAGCAGGAAGGCGCTGGAGGCAGAGAGGATCTCCCCCCGCGCCATGAATGGAAGAAGGGAGAGGGGGAGCCGCGCGACCTCTGAAATCCACCGATCCTTCTGCCCCTCCTCCTCCCCCCTCCGCCTCCTCCCTCTTCATCCTCCATCTTGCCTCTTCGAGGCAACGCTCACAAACTGTCAAACATGACGAGTTCGCATAGAGTGTCCTGGCGCGTCCCGGATCGGCGGCAGAGGATTTAGAAGAAATACAAACTTGCATTAACCGATGGGTAACACGGACACCCTTGACCTCGAAGAATCGACCTATTCGTCAGACCCGACGGTCGGTGAACAGGATACTGGCAAGCAACCAGACGATACTCACTGAAGCCGTTGATTCGGTAGTGGGCAGGCCACACAGCAGGTGTGCGAATCTCTGGCATCGCTTGACACGCGCTTGAAATCACACAGAGCTGAAAGGGTTTCCAGCATTGCTGGGCCATCGCATCAGCACGATGTGCTATAAACGTGCTAGTGATTATACCCATAAGCCCGCATATGCGGCTAGGAGTGAGGGGCTGGTCTGTGTTCGGCGCAGCATGCTGCGATCTGGAAGTCGCCTCAGGGCGACTGGTCGCCTGCAGAGCCAGAGGAGACGGACAACTAGGAACTCAAAGCCCGCCGCAGGCGTATAATCGCGCGTAGCTTGAATCCACATGAACTGCGGGGAGAGAAGCAACATGTCGCAGACGCCCCACTTGTGTGAGCATAGTGAAGCAAACAATTGGCATCAAAAAAGCACGCCGCAGGCATCACATTTCGTTTAGTTCGAAAGTCGACGAACAACTTTGGAAACAAAACGGCCGCTGTCGTATGCTTCCCAAAGCAGCGCCGCGCCCCTATTTTGTCCGACCTGCGCAGATAATCCTCCTGCGCGTGCCCCCCACTTCGGCACACACACACACACGCACGCATGAACACACACACGCACACGCACACGCACACGCACACGCACACGCACACACACAGACACACACACACTCACACACACACACTCACACACTAACACACTCACACACACACTGACTGAGATACGAATAAAAAGCTACATCATTAACGAAAACAAAAAACCACGCACGGGGGTAGCGCACCGCACGCACGCACGCACGCACGCACGCAACCAACACAACACACACAAGAACGGCACGCACACACAAGACAACACACACACACGCACACACACACCACACACACACACACGCACGCATCGCTCGCACGCGCACAGGCAACGCACGCACACTACACAGCACACCCACACGCACGCACGTCAACGCACGCACGCACGCATGCAACACATCACGCACACACACTCACGGCACACACAGACTCCCACGTGCCGCCCGCCCGTCCCGCCCACCCACCTCACCCACCCCGCCCGCCCGCCCGACACCTGCCACCCCCGGCCCACCTGCCCCACCACCCACACCACGCCTCACCCACGACCCCCACCCACCCACACCCACATAGTAGGCAAACCCCACCCACAACGCCCGTACCCGTACCCACACCCACCTCCACACGCACAACGCACACCGCACAACGCACAAAAACGTAAACATCAAACAAGACACCGCACAATCAGCACACACACCACACGCCACACACAACACGCAACACACGCACACACTCACACATGCACACACACACACGCGCACACACACGCGCAAACACACGCACACACACACGCGCACACGCACACGCACAGAGACACGCACACACACACACACTCACACACGCACACACACACGCACACACACGGGCACACACACACACACACACACGCGCACACGCACACGCACAGAGACCCACACAGAGACCCACACAGAGACACACACACGCACAGAGACCCACGCACAGAGACGCACGCACACGCACA